ATTTGATTTTGAATTGAATGGCGCTAAACGTAGAAAAAATAAAATACTGACATAGAAATAAATGACATAAAGACGGAACTGCTCTCGGAGTTCTGCTGTCACGTGAAACCCACTCTGCTTCTCAGATCTCTGTCCAATCAGAGGTAGTGCTCTCCGTCTGCGGGTCATCAGGTTTAATAAAGCAAGATCGAAAAATGTGTCTCGCATTAGCCGCATAATCTGGGCTTATTAAAAGTGCGCCGCGATCGTTACGGCGCAGTAAAAGCCTGATGGGAGGAGATAATAAGAAGTGCTGGTGTTTACGGACTGTGCTGCTGTGGAGTGGGAGCCGGCCCCTCCCTCGGTCTGGGTCTCAGGGAGGTTTCTCACTTTTCTCCCACTGGGTTTTTAGAGTTTTTCTTCTCTGATAAAGGATGGTCTAAGGACAGAGGTGGTGATCCAGGACTCTCCACATTCAAGGATGTTTATGGACATCGGTGTCTGCCCCTTATGGACCGACGTCTCTCTGTGCTTCTTTATCACTGCATTTCTTGTGTTTCAATTCAATTCAAATCAATTTATTTTTGTATGGCCCTAAAATACAACAAGAATGATCTCAGAGGACTTTACAAAACCGTTGATTTCACCAACACAGAGAATCAAACAGTTAGTCCTGGTGTAGGTCCTGTTTTGGCTGTTTACAGTATGTTCAGTCTGCTCAGTCAGACCACTAATGTCCCCGTGACCACTTTGCGGCTCTCTGATTGGTCGCTGCACGAGCGTCCAGATGAAACGCTCAGCAAAATGTATCTCCCGCGTGCGTCGCTTTTCCGCTCCTGCTCCTCTGCTGCGCCTTTGCCGCACAGTCCGTGTGTCTCTACCGCGCAGTCCGTCCGTACATCCCGAGACGCGTCACCATTGACTTTGCATAGAAAGTCACCGCAATGCATGATCCGGTCTGAAAGCACTGTCAGTCTTGTGGTCTCAGTCTTGTAGGTCTTAGTCTTGTGGGTCTCAGTCCTTTGGGTCCCAGTCCTGTGGTCTCAGTCCTGCGGTCTCAGTCCTGTGGTCCCAATCCTGTGGTCTTAGTCCTGTGGGTCCCAATCCTGTGGTCTCAGTCCTGTGGGTCTCAGTCTTGTAGGTCTCAGTCTTGTGGGTCCCAATCCAGTGGTCTCAGTCCTGTGGGTCTTAGTCCTGTGGGTCTCAGTCTTGTAGGTCTCAGTCTTGTGGGTCCCAATCCAGTGGTCTCAGTCCTGTGGGTCTTAGTCCTGTGGTCTCAGTCCTGTGGGTCTTAGTCCTTTGAAGTCAGTCCTGTGGTCTCGGTCCTGTGGTCTCAGTCCTCACAGCCAGAAGGTCCTAATTTCGATTCCACCCCCCTCCACCTTTCTGTGTGGCGTTTGCATGTTCTCCCCGTGTCTCCATAAGTTCCCTTCACTTACCCCTGTTTACCCTACCTCTAAAACATTCAATAGTTAGACCTTCTATACGACCTCCCCGCTCCCATCTCTGTGTGGAGCGAGAGACAAATGGCCAACCACAATTGTAAACCGCTTTGTGACTGTGGTCTGTGAAAGGCGCAATACAAATAAATAATATTACTTACTCACTTACTTACTTCAAGCACATAAAATGCAATGATAAAAAACACACAGAGCCTTTGATTCATGCAGTACAGAGACCAACGTTTATAAATGTTAGATTCTCTGATCTGTGTTGGCGAATCTACGGCTTTGTGACACCCTCCGAAATACTTAAGTACTGCTGTGTTTGAGTTTGTGAGTATTTGAATAGAAGTGTTTTATCGTTTGACAGTGATAGTCGGCGGTGGATTGGTCTCGTTCCCGGCTGCGCCTGTAGCCAACAGAAACATAACAGCCGTGCTTCCACCATTAGCATGATGGGCGTGTTGTCCAAATGTCAAAAGTACAGAAGCACAGATCCTCTACGGGTTCTGCATATCTGGACCCCGTACGTCACCGCGTACGGCCCCTCGCCCTCTCTCTCTCTCTCTCTCTCTCTCTCTCTGTTTCTCTCTCTCTCTCTCTGTTTCTCTCTCTCTCTCTCTCTCTCTCTCTCTCGTTCCAACGACTTAAACAGACCAGAAACCGTTCACATGGTGTTTCCTTCCGATGGGACCGTGTTGAGAATCGGCCTCCAATAAGTCGGCCTGGACCAGCCTCTCTCTCTCTCTCTTCCCCCTCCCCCCCTCTCTCTCCCCTTGCTCCCTCTCTCTCTCCCCCCTCTCTCTCTCTGTCTCTCTCTCTCACTCCCTCAGTCTCTCTCTCTCTCTCCCCATCTCCCTCTTTCTCTCACTCCCTCAGTCTCTCTCACAGTCCCTCTCTCTCTCTCTCTCACAGTCTCTCTCTCTCACTCCCTCAGTCTCTCTCTCTCTCTCTCTGTCTCTCTCTCACTCCCTCAGTCTCTCTCTCTCTTTCTCTCTCTCGCTCTCTCTTTCTCTCTCTCTCTCTCGTTCCAACGACTTAAACAGACCAGAAATCGTTCACATGGTGTTTCCCTCCGATGGGACCGTGTTGAGAATCGGCCTCCAATAAGTCTGCCTGGACCAGCCTCCTCTCTCTCTCTTTCTCTCTCCCCCCCCCCTCTCTCTCTCCCCCTCTCTCTCCCTCTCCCTGCTCCTCTCTCTCCCCCCCTCTCTCTCTCTCTCTCTCACTCCCTCAGTCTCTCTCTCCTCTTCTCTCAGTCTCTCTCACTCTCTCATCTCTCTCAGTCCCTCTCTCTCTCTCCAGTCTCTCTCTCTCTCCCCTTTCTCTCTCTGTCTCTCTGTCTCTCTGTCACTCCCTCAGTCTCTCTCTCCCATCTCCTCTTCTCTCACTCCCTCAGTCTCTCTCTCTCTCTCTCTTCCTCAGTCTCTCTCACTCTCTCAGTCTCTCTCACAGTCCCTCTCTCTCTCTCACAGTCTCTCTCTCTCTCCCTCTTTCTCTCTCTGTCTCTCTGTCTCTCTGTCACTCCCTCAGTCTCTCTCTCCCCATCTCCCTCTTTCTCTCACTCCCTCAGTCTCTCTCACAGTCCCTCTCTCTCTCTCTCTCTCTCTCTCGTTCCAACGACTTAAACAGACCAGAAACCGTTCACATGGTCTTCGGCCTCCAATAAGTGACGCGACACCTGCTTCAAAAAACCTGCATTACGAGCCTCTCAGGAACGCTCGGATCGGCCCTTTCTCAGCGCCGCGGCGGTTGTAACTTCTCATCCTTTTTCGTGCTATTAATTCACAGGAGTTAAAATAACAAGGGCCCGCGCCGATGTAATATGTGTATGATTAGCCACCTGAGAGCCGGCCGCATAAAAAGCCATTACTGTGCAATTACTGGAGCCTCCAGCTGGGAACGCGATCTTGGCGTGAGCAGAGGTTCCAGCCGGAGTTCTAAAGTATATGTTGGCCGCTCTTCCTCCTGATGTTAGTGACATACTTCGGGACGTGCAAAGTAACTCGCCGATTTCCTCTGCTTTTTACGGCGTGTCAAAGGTGACTCGTAAACAGCCGCCTAGTTATTTTGGAAGGCAGTTCGTAAAAATGGATTAAAATGGTTGCAGCAGTGAAGGAGAAGGGGACGGTTTTGTGAACGAATTTAGAGACTTCTTTGTGTGGAATTACGTTCCACCGGGAAAATATTGGGTTGAGCTGTGTCTCTTCAGACAGTTTAACTATTATAGCGAGGATCTGCCCTTAACATTCTAGTATCAATCTATACCACAGTAATATTTACATTAGAAAACATTACAAAACAGATTGAGACTTTTTTTCCAGAATAACACAATTTTGTCCAAACAGAAAGAATCTTTTAAAAGTGGACCTCAAGTGAGAATTGTCTTCCCATTTGAACTTTTCTATCTGAAAATGTTGATCTAAAGATTTTCCCACAGGCTTTTTAGAGTGGTTCCTTGCCAATGCAGGAGGGTTGAGGCAGGCATAACCAAACTGAGGCCCGAGCGCCAAATGCGGCCCGCTGTGACATTGTATGTGGCCCTCTGCCTTGCTAACACACAGTAGCCATTGATCAATTTGAGCTGCTTTTGATTGTGTCACAACATTCCATATATATCACTAATTTAGCCGTGAATTGTGCATAAATGTGGACATGTCATACCCAATTTTTTTAAATCAAGGTTGTCGGACCTTAGACAATTTTGGTCCTCTTGGTCCAACGTTTGGACATCTAAGGACAGGTCTCTGCCCCTTATGGACCAATGGCTCTATGTAGTATTTATCATTGCATTTTCTGTGTTTGTACTGTTTGATTCTCTGATCTGTGTTGGCAAATCGACAGCTTTGTAAAATCCTCTGAGATAGCTACTGTTGTGATACAAAAACCGAACCAAACTGTTTTAAGAGTGAGGAACAAAGTATAGGCATTTTACTACAGTCATTTTTGCTTTGACAGTCAGGTACCCAACAAGATATACACAATTTGAAGCATTCGCACTAAGATAGCCCGATGCAAAGGTCTGGTCCTAGACGTCCCATCGGGAGAGTGTGTTTACGCAGGCTGGAGGTGCCTCTTGCTTTTTACTCCCATCTTCCGCCTGCCGCATGAGTAATTTATGGAGCCCTGGGAGCCTGCGGGCAGATATTTGTTTGATGATAGTGCAACAGGTCTGGATGCTTGGAGGTGTATAATTGGTGGTGGCTGGCCCGCTCGTGGAAATGGAGCTGCAGTTGCCCAACAAAGCCGCGGGGCCCGTCCGTACATACCAGTGTGTCAAGAAGACTTTGCACTTGCCGTGAGATGTTCATTCACAGATTCATTAACGCACTTGTAGCATAGTTAGCAGCTTGTAAATGCGCTGCTTAGTTCAAAGTGAAGGCAAAAAAAGAGAATCCGAGCCACATGCATGCTCGTTATATCATTTATAATCACCCCCGAAGCGTCATATTTCTGACACAGAGCCCATAAAAATAACAGCCGACACCTGCGCTCGGGCTATGACTGTGTTTTTTTATTTTTTATTATCTACATCCAAACTCACGGCTTCTTCTCTGCTTTTCTCACACCTGTGCGCAGGAGTCCCAGCAGAGTTCCACCGATTTCAGGTTTTACATCGAGAACCACACCAAGCACCCGGACGAGGTGAGCCGAAAGCAGGTGCGCATCTACCAGCTCTACAGCCGCACCACGGGCAAACACGTCCAGATCCTGGGCAAGAAGGTCAACGCCAACGGAGACGACGGAAGCAAACATGGTAAAGCACAGTCTGCGTTTGTTATCGCACTGGGAACGGGGTCCAGTCCTAAACAAGTCCTAAACCAGTCCCAAACCAGTCCTAAAGCAGTCCTAAACCAGTCATTGCATATGATTGCAGTATTTACTATTTGCAGATGAAGAAAAGAGAATGCAACCCAGTGTTTTTGACCAGTTACTTTTTTCCAATTCATCCCAAATGAGTGGATTAAACATGAGACGGATGTTGTACTGACTCCCCTGCCAGCACCAGTGGGAGGAGTTGAATTCAAAAATGACCAGCTGCAAACAGTAGTCATAGCCATAGTGCAGCTCATGTTTGAGACAGGAGCGTAGAGACGGATAAAAACAACTCCAGGGCTGTTAGTGCATTAAAGGAGGCATCACTCTTTTTGAAGGCTTTGTATTTAATGGAATCATAAGCAAAGTGTTAAAATGCTTTAAATCTGATGTGAATGGCGTCTGTAAAACCATTGGGAGATTGTGGTTAAATGTTGAAATAATGACACTTGTGCAGTATTTCAAGACAAGAACATTTTGATTTGAGCGAAAAGCAGAGAGAAGAAACATGACATGACATGACGTGGGATCATGTGAACTGTTTGCTTCAAGGCTACTTTTTTGATTACAACTAAATCTCTAACTTTAGCAAATCAAAGAAGAAAGTAAAACATCTCTAACTTAAGCATAATAAAGAAGCGAGTGTAAAATCCTGTAAATTCTAGTGCATATATGTACAGTAGTATGTTTACATCTGTACATGTTAGCAGGAGGGTCTGGGACACAGACACAGTCACTCTTGGTTCTATATTGCACATTCTGACATTAGTTCAGATTATTGCACTGATGCAATAATATATATTTTCCCCGCTGTGGGACGAATAAAAGATCTGTTAATCTTTGCACGACATGAGGTCGACAGTGCTCGCTAGTCCTCATTGTTCGGCGGCGACGATGGATTAACATTTCCCTTAAAGGCAAAATATCTTATAAAGATCTCCAATTTCATCTTAATGAACAATGTCAAAGTCGTTTGGAATTCTGGCATCAAATTGTCGCTTTCAAAAACTGGGAAATACCATGTTTCTATATTTTGAGCATCACAATTATGCTTCTATTGGTGAATTGGTCCTAAACCTCAGAAAATAAAAGGAGGTTAGAGCTGATTCTGCATTGATTAGGTTTTAAAAGTGTAATGAATGGATCCCAGAGTAAAAGACTAGTTTCTTGGACAAAGATGTATTCGTAAAACTGTCATAACTAAATATAGAATATCAAAAAAACACAATGTCATTTTCCATTGTGAACTATTAGTTATCATTTTGTTTTTAAAATTATTCATAATTCTTGACCACAGTTTTTAAGCACTATTTTGAGAGTTATTCTCAAAATATTTACAGCAAAATTTTTTTTCTTGTTTTGAGATTAACACAGACCTGAAATGTCCTTCTCTCTCAGATATTTCTCTTATATGATCTTAACATCAGTATAAACTGTATTAATGTCAACTAAAACATAGGGCGATAAAAAAATAAATTAAATTGAATTGAACAACATAAAACATTCAACAAATTATATATATTGTATCAGTTAAAGCAATATGAGTAGCATCGCCGCTGTTTACACATTACTTTGGACCCGCCCTCCCCAGGTTGAGTGACAGGCATCCTCCTTGACCACACCCAGTTCCGGGTTGAGTGACAGGTGCCCGTCTTGTCGGAGAGCCCGCCTCCAAAGCGCTTGTCTCGTTGAAAGAGTATACGCTCAGTCAATGCTTGTTAGAGCTTGAGCAGAAGCAGATCCAACTTTTTTCCCATGAGTCTTTGCCAATTCTGCTGTCCTCCGCCTGACGTTCACCCCCTCCCCCCTCATACCATCCAGCTGCAGTACCTGGCACCTGTGAGCTCTTCTGCACTTTCTCACCCAGCCCATACCAACTCACTGCTCACGTAGCTACACCGCTAGCTTTAGCCACTTACACGCTAGCCTTTTTCCATTTAGCCTTAAGCTTCGGAGCCGCAAAGTTCACCTACACTTTTCATCCAGGCCTCAAAAATGGCAGCTCTCATTCTTCACCGGTTTCTCTCTTTGGTCAGACAGATGCTCGGCCGCCACGCATTAGTCTCACCATGGTCACTTTAGCTTTACAAATGGACACATAATTAACGTAGAAGGCGTCTTGGCAGATGACCCCGCAGTGAGGTTAATGCACACGCCACGGAGAGGTTCGGGGATTTCTCATTGCGCGAAAAAACTATCGGCAATAAAAAATTAGCAACAGAAGGCCTTTTGTGAGGTTGTTTTGCTCTTGGCACATACCACAAAGCGTCTGTGTACGAGGACGCTTTCCAAGAGATTTACCAAGTGTATAGAGCGCTTACAGAATATTTCTAAAGTCCTGGATTACGGGGATTACCGTTTTGAAGTGTTGCACTGTACCGCATTCCCTCCTTTGTAAACTAAATGCCATCCGCCGGAGGTATCGATGACAGCGGAGCCACGGTTCTGTTTGCGTTGTGAGACAAGCAATCGAGGTAAATCTTCAGCTGCCAGACCGTTCCATCTTTTATAGAAATATATCGGAGGAAAAGACGGCGATAGCTTTTGTCAATCTATCAACAGGTTTATTTCAATTTGACAAAGCACAAAAGAAAAGGGGTGGGGCGAAGCAAACATTTTGAAAAGTTGCAAAGTCCCTCTCACCCACTCAACACAGAGAGAGACGGTTTGAAAAGAAATTGGCAAAAAGAACAATTCAGTTCAATGTATTTTTGGATGTATTTTGGCCTAAATCACAACAATAGTTATCTTGCAGGACTTTACAAAGCTGTCGATTCGCCAACACAGATCCAAGAATCAAACTGGAAATGCAATGATTGAGCCATTGGTGCATAAATGTTGATAAATATGGAGTCCTGGATCATCACCACCGTCCTCAGAGCAGTGATTTCCAACCAGTGGGCCGTGGCACGTCTGTGTGCCTTGAGACTTTGCTTGGTGTGCCCTTTGGGAATGATCCATAATCATCTCATTGGTCCAAATAATGTGACAAGAAAAACAGTGTGAGAAGATCAGAGAAAATGAATGTGCTTGTTTGATTTTCTGTCTGATACACTTTGATGATAATGACTGCAGAGTTTGTCGTTTTTATATGAGTGAGCCATATATAAACTCAACCTAAATCCATTATTTGATCCTCTGCAAATTGTCCTAAAATGTTTCACTAATGTTAATGGTTGCTTCCAGGTTTACCGTAATAGCTCTTTGTTGAATTAAAACAGGTTTTTTGTCCTAAAAACGTAAACAAATAATTCTGAAAACCAATATGTATACGTATAATGTATTCTTCAAATAAGATTTAAGTGTGTTGATTGATTATCATTTGTGTTATTGAGCGTGGATAACTCCGATAGCTTCTCTCGCAGAGTCAGTAGTTGTGACGAAGGGGCCAGAACTACTTGCGGAGTAATCTACACACCTGAATTACAAACAGAGATTACATTTCCAAAGGGCAGTTATTGTTTTGAGAGGACGGTAATCAAGAAATAATGACCGGTAGAACGTTTTGAAATTACGTTCCTATCAATAGAGCTTTCTACTGCTGCTGTGAGGAGTTGTATAATACGTTTATATATCTATACATCTGCAGTCTTCTCTAAAGCATTCGGACCGTCAGACTGATATGGATTGACGACTCCTGAGTGCTTTTAAAAACCGAGAGCTCCCAACAAGATCTCTCAGCTATCTTTCCCCAAACACTCACAAGACGGACTGGTTTCCCACTGGTGCAGGCTGCATGGGGCGGGGGGTGCTGAAGGGGTGTGGGGGGTGGAGGGGGTAGTGGTTTGTCTTCTGCCCCCCAGCCTCTCCCATCCTCTGGCCCATTCTTCTCCCCTGCTCCCTTGAGCGCTACTGAATGGCCTTGTGTGTTAAACAAATGGATCATCTTAACTTTTTGATTGAGTGAGCACAGACTAAGGGCAACTTGAAACCTAATCCCGAGGGGCACATAACCGCTCGGCAAATGTTTGGTGGGTGTCTTTGCGTCTTGACAGGCGAGCAGAGACAAAGGTGACCTGACAAGGGTTAACATCGGGGAGTCGAGGCGGGGGGGGGCTGGGTAGAGTGCGGGGGGGAAATGAAAGAGCCGCCAGGATGCGTCTTTAGAGTGGATTAGTGCTGTGTCAGGTTTAAGTGACGCTGCCATTGTTGTTGTTTTAGCCCAGATCACTTCATAGCACTGTCAGGTCTGGCCCTCACTGTCAAACGGGTAATGTTTTGAATGTTTGTCGGACGTGATTATTGTTATCCCTTCACGCTGTCTCTGTGTGTGTTTTGTCGGTTTTTTTTATGGCTTGTGTGGTTTGGTGACATCGCAGACAAAGAAACGAAAGCTCGGGGTCTGTGAGCTCCGGAGTTCTGGAGGTTTTTTCACGAATCCAGATTTTTAAAACTGAGCTCTTCTGGCCACCCTGGAAAAGCCATGTTCCAGCTTCTTCCCTCAGGCAGAAGATCTCAATTTGCTAACAGCTTCTTTCCACGAGCTGTTATCAGTTTAAACAGAGCACTTTAAATGATCTTGCACTTTGTATTGAAACTAACTTATTCCTGAACTTGACTTGGGCACACTGGGGACTTTTGCACACCTCTTCCAATGTGGTTTTACTGCAAATGGCAAATAAAATGAATCCGTGTGTAATTTTTTCTTTCAGCTCTTCTGGTGGTGGAGACCGAGACCTTTGGGAGCCACATACGAATAAAGGGCAAAGAAAGCGAACATTACATCTGTATGAACGAGAAGGGGAAAATAGTGGGGAGGGTGAGTATCAACGAACACATCTCGTCATATCTCTGCTTCAATTCAATTTGATGTATTCTTGTATCGCCCTAAATCACAACAGTAGTTATCTCGGAGGACTTTACAAAGCTGTCGATTTCCCCACACAGATCAGAGAATTAAACAGTTCAAACACAGGAAAAGCAATTATTAAAAAAAAAACATAAGACAATGGTCCATAAGGGGCAGAGACCAATGTCCGTACACTGCAAATAATGGTAAAATATAAGGTAATAATGGCTTGAATTGAGTGGTTTTTATCTCAACCTGAGCACATTGTGACTGTTAAAACAATATTCTCCAATGAGACAAAGCCATTTAGTCTTATTTCAAGAACTGTCGCTGTATTTTCGCATTCCAAAAGATCATTTTGCTTTTGCCCCATTGGTAAATCTGGTTTTAAGGCGGTCAGAATGTTTTCAAATTAAGAGACATGTTGCCAAATTCGAGCAATTTGTTACTTATTTTTCATCACTTCATCATAAAAAGAACTGCTTTTAACCTGGATTTGAATATTGTCAGGAAGACTACTCCAGATTTTAGCGGAAGAAATCTGAAACGCTGCCTCCTCATGTTTAGTCCTGACTCTGGGCACCTGTAGAAGGCCAGTCCCTGTGCTCCTCAGAGTCCCAGCAGGAGGCCAGTCCCTGTGCTCCTCAGAGTCCCAGTTGGAGGCCAGTCCCTGTGCTCCTCAGAGTCCCAGTTGGAGGCCAATCCCTGTGCTCCTCAGAGTCCCAGTTGGAGGCCAGTCCCTGTGCTCCTCAGAGTCCCAGTTGGAGGCCAGTCCCTGTGCTCCTTAGAGTCCCAGCCACAATCTCAGACCAAACACGAAACTTTCCACAAAATAGACGTGTTTTAAGGATAAGGAATGAGAATATGTTAGAAAGGCGTCTACAAGTGCAGATCTGCTTTCTGCTGTTATTGTACACCCAACAAAACCCCTTTGATAACTCCCAGCCATTCTTCCATTACGTAACGGTCGACTCTTTTGACACTCGATCAGTCAATTACACAATTACACAACTACACACTGCAACACACTGCAATCACCACAGAGAGAGACTAATGGTCACTTAGGGGGAATGCCATTGGTGTTATATCACTTAGTCCCTGCAGGTGGCCGCAGCAGCAACAGAGGACCACAGAGGGGCAGAGGCCGGACCCACGCGTGTGGTTCTGCACCGGACATAAGTCATACTGTCAGCTCGCTCACACACACACATGCAAATACACATAAGTACACACACACATGCATATACATATACACTCATATGCATACACTCACACACGCACATACACATACAGTATATACACACACACGCAAATACACATAACCACACACACTCACCTTGACTCTCATCTGGTCAAAACATGCACTTTCACTACACACATGCATACACACACATATATACAGTCACACACACAGACTCATACACGCACTCACAAACACACGTGCACAAACACACACTCACACACATGCATTCACACTGACACACACACACACACACATAGATACACAGGCACACACAGACACACACACACACACACACACATATTGGCCTGTGCGTTGGACAGTGCACTGTAAAGTCATCAGGAGGGTGGTTCTGTGGACGACTGTTTAAAGTATTCTGGAAAGTACCTGATGATTTCTTTCCAAAATGTTATGAAAACAAGGAATTGTTCAAAATGTCTATGTTTTGTTCTGAAATAAAGCTGGGATACCTAACTTTCAAACAACACTCAAATGTAATTATATGATCAAATCTATCTAACTAGTTCCACCTTTGGCTCTATGGTCAGTGTCCACATGTGTTTGGCCTCGGTCACCTCTATTGCTTTTTCAGATAGAAACATGGAACAAGAGCACCGCCCTCTCTCGGCCAATCAGCTCTCAGCCCAAAAGCATCACATGATCCTACATTACATTTTGAGTCATTGCATATAATTTAACATGTTGTCATTACGTTGGACCCGCTTGAAAAAGAGAAGGATCATCTCAAGAGGCAATCCTGAAGAATAAACAAATACATTTCACTATTGTAGGGTTATACAGTAATATGGCCGTTTTACATGAGTGAAAAAGACAGTGGTGATGATCCAGGACGTTCGACATTCAACAACATTTATGGACATTGGTCTCTGCCCCTTTTGGACCAATGTCTCTATGTGTTTGTTATCATTGCATTTCCTGGGTTTTAACAGTTTGATTCTCTGATCTGTGTTGGCGAATCGACAGCTTTGTAAGGTCCTTCGAGAAAACTACTGTTGTGATTTAGCACTGTACAAAAATACATTTAATTGAACATGTTTGCTGTGAAACATCTTTCTTGATATGACAATGTATCTGTATATGCATCTAGACTATATATACTGTATCTGAATCGACACCAGTGTTGTTCAGCCAGTGTGCCGTGGCATGTTAGTGTGCCTTGAGAAGTTGTATGGCGTGCCTTTGGAAATGGTCCAATCATCATCATTATCAAACTTTATTACAGACATGGTCCAGAATAAGACAAACACATACATAAGACACAAAACAACACATATAATCACAGCAATACGCCTAAATCAGCCTCAGAGCAAACAGCTGTACCATTGTCTCCACACTTTTATGCTAGTGTGATTTTTCTCTGTAATACCTTTGATGAGAATGAGTTTACGTTGCTGATGAAGGTCGTGTGCCTTGTGATTGTTAAAAAGGTGTGCCACAGCTCAAAAAGGTTGGGGAACACTGATCTAGACTATGTATCTGTATCTGTATAAGTATCCTGACTATGTATCTGAATAAGTATCCTGACTATGTATCTGAATAAGTATCCTGACTATGTATCTGAATAAGTATCCTGACTATGTATCTGTATAAGTATCCTGACTATGTATCTCAGAGGGGGAGACTCCTCCCGTTTCCTCAAATCTTCAGGTTAAGACTGAGCTTACTTGAGGAAATGGGTCTGATAGAAAACTTGCAGCCACAGCAGCCCTTTCTAGACCGGTTTGGACACCTCTGATGTATCTGTATCTAGACTAAAACTCTGTTGGGACATGAAGAGCTTTCTCTAACTCCTGGTTGTTTTCCTTCAGCCTGACGGGAGGAAGCAGGAGTGCGTCTTCGTGGAGGAGTTCTTGGAAAACAACTACACTGCGTTGGTGTCGGCCAAATACAAAGGCTGGTACCTGGGCTTCAACCGGAAAGGGCGGCCGAAGAAGGGCTCGCGGACCACCCAGCGGCAGCAGGAGGTCCACTTTATGAAACGCCACCCGAAAGGCCGGGTGGAACCCATGGAGGAGTTCAAGTTCACCACAGTAACTAAACGGACACGTCGAGCGCGCCGCTTAAAGGCCCGGCGGAACTGAACGGACAGCACTAAGATTCTCGTACGCAAAGAACAACTTTAAACACACGAGATTAGACTTGCAGAACAAAAAAAAAGATGTTTTATTTTTGTATTTCAAGGACGACTGAAAGCGTCTCTGGGATCGCTGTCCTCACGCTCACGTGCCTGCTACGTTATTTATACTGGATAAACTAAAGGGACCTGCCTTTTTGACAATGGGGACTGAGAAGCTGGCGCAACGCTGTAAAAACCAGCCAAGTAGAGATTTAATGGATTACCTGTTTGTGTTGCCACGGACGCCCAGGACCCATACTTTCCACTGGAAGCAGACGCCATGGAGACGAGCCTCGCAGGTGTGACACTGCTCTGTGGAGGAGCGGAGAAGCTTTGAGTGCAATATATTTTACAAGTCTCTCCATTTTAACTTTTCCTTCTTGTTTGCGTCCATCTCCGGTTAAAGACGGAATGTGCTGAGCCTTCTACGCCGCTTGCGATTCCAAGATGACCCGTGTTGGGGAGTAACGGCTCAATTCAGTTTGTTTTTGTATCGCCCTAAATAACAGCAGTAGTTGTCTCGGAGGACTTCACAAAGCTGTCGATTTGCCAAACACAGATTAGAAAATCAAAACACATAGATCCATTGGTTCATAAGGGGCAGAGATCAATGTCCATACATGTTAATAAAGTCTATAATCAGTTCAGAATTCAACTTTTGAGTCACTGAATTTGAAATTAAATAATTGAGGCAAAAACGCAATTATGAGAGATTGGAAAAAAATTAAAATAAACGTTGCCTTAGATGTTTTTAATCTGTTTTCTAATCAACAATAACAACAGACGCGTTCTATTCCTCTACTGCATTTGTAAACAATATATCATTCTGTATCATTCCACTAATGAGTGTAAAAGTGTTGAACCAGGGTTTTCTCTAACTATCGACATTTTCAAAGTATTCTCCCCAGCACTGAAGGCAACAGAGCTTCGACCAATCACACGCCTGCTTACGTCCATTGCTTGAGAAAACGAAAACAACACGCTCTCATGGTCTTCCCGGAGCGAGAACAGGAGGTGGTCAACGCTCGTCTGGTCAGCCACACTCACAGTCACCCTCAAAGGGACACAAAATGGCTGCTTTTATCCAATCCGTTATCTGGTAGGATTGTTGATTGTCGAGAAACCAATTGGAAAAACGTCAGAAAAAATGTTAAATGTGTTATAATGCAATCTTAGTTTTTAAATGCAATTTTGCGGCCTCTTATAGTTTTCAGGGCTCTTTCTTAGGCGCCTGCCAAAGTAACAGGTTTTCTAATGAGATAAAGATGCATGTTGTGGTCTTACTTTTACAAACATTATCATTCGTGATCAAAAAGTTAGGTACCCCAGCTTTAAATGCAATAACAAAGCCACTCATCACACATCTTTTGCCACCGTCTGAAGCTGTGTTTGGAGGTTGTCGAGGCAGCAGCTCTGACTTCTCTCTCCACACACACTTCCTGAGGACAGTCCCATGCAGGATCCTGGGTCTTCCCTCGAGGGGTCCTGGGTCTTCTCTTGGTCTCCTCCTGATGGGGGGTGTCCATTCGGAGGCATCCCAAACTTAATTCTACCCCTAGCTCATCTCCCAATTCAATTACATTTATTTTTGTATCGCCCTAAATCAAAACAGTAGGTATCTCAGAGGACGACAAAACTGTTGAATTTGCCGACACAGATCAGAGAATGAAACAAAAAACCGACAGAGCCATTGGTCCATAAGAGGCAGATGACCAGAGTCTATAAATGTTCACAACGTCCATAAATGTGGAGAGTCCTGGATCCTCACCTCAGTCCTCAGACCCTCCTGCATCAGCAAAACTCAACACTCCACTCTCAAAGAGAACGCTGATCAAATACATACATCATTTGAGTGGGCTGGCCAGATTACATCCAGACTAGATCCAGACAACAGCAGGATTAGAGTCAGACTAGAGCCAGACTAGAGTCAAACTAGATCCAGAATAGATCCAGACTAGAGCCAGATTCAGAGTCAGATTAGAGCCAGACTAGAGCCAGACTAGAGCCATACTAGAGCCATACTAGAGCCAGACTAGAGCCAGACCAGAGCCAGACTAGAGCCAGACCAGAGCCAGACTAGAGCCAGATTCAGAGTCAGACTAGAGCCAGACAAGAGCCGGACTAGATCCAGAAAAGATCCAGACAGAGCCAGACAAGAGTCAGACTATAGACAAACTAGAACCAGACTAGAGCCAGACTAGATTCAGACTAGAGCCAGACTAGATCCAGACTAGACCCAGTCCAGATCCAGATGCAGTGCGGTCCCTGTTCTGAATGAGTGCCATGGAGCTGGTTGTTGGTTTGGGCGATGAAGACTTCTACCTCTTTGTACTTTCATGTGATTTTTGTGAGTCCACATTTCCTTCAAACGCTTTTGGAAAGGTCCGTCCTCACGCACCGCTCTCGTCTCTGCCCCCTCTCACCAGTATATATCCACCCGCTACTAACACATGACACATGTATGACGTCTTTTTTTTTTAAACAAATGTAAGAAAAAATAATTTTATGACTATTATTAAGATATTTATTGCCTTTCGTTGTAAATAAAATGTGCTAAGTTTTATTTGGCCTCTGTTAATAAAATGAGGATTATATTTTAAAATGGATATATTGCTGTGTTTATTGTTGTCATGGCTGCAACGGTGGAATTGGAAATAAATAGATGGACAGACCAAAGGTATAAAAGTGGTTTAGTTTTATTATCATTACATTTTTATTTTTTTACACATTTTAGTATTTTGGAAGATTTTGACATATTTATATAGTGTTTTGAATACTATTTTCTTGTAGTTTTGGTTTCAATCACAACTGGGCGCACCCGGTCTTTTTAGAATAAGATTGGTAGTTAAATATAAACAAATACAACTTTGACCTAACTTAACTTTTAATTACATGTTAGAAAAGATTCAATGATGTGGTTGTTTTTCCTGAAAAAATGTTTTAAATTACGTTTAACATGCCATAGTATACCATTAGCAAGTATGATTTCAGGGGCCACTAAAAATGGTCTTGTGGGCCGGATTTTGCCCACGGCCCTGAGTTTGACATGTCTGCTGTAGGAGAAAAGTGGTGTCCAGATGTCTCACAGAAGAAACACATCCATCCAAACAAACAAATAAATACATAATTGATGTTTGCAGAGTCTGCTTGGTTCTGACCATTTTCACCGCTCTGGTTCAGAGTGAAATTCTCAATGCTTTTTTAGGATATCCTCTTGATCTGCTTGGTTGGGACCATCCTTTCTCCTCTGATCTGGATCGGTGTAAAACCATGAAAACTGTACTGCACCTCACAACAGAAGGAGTCCCAGAGGACTTTAAAAAACTGTAGAATTTGTCAAAACAGATCCGGGAATCAAACACAAAGAAACAGAAAAGAAAACACATCGGTATTGGTCCATAAAAGACAGAGACCAACGTCCATAAGTGTTGATAAATGATGAAATAACAACTGTTTCAAAGCGACTCAGGACTCGCCGCTGTTTCCGGAACATTCTAAAGAGACGAGCAGACTCACAGGATGCAGCAGGTGTAGGCCTCGGTTAAACACAGAGTACATTCCCTTCCGTGCGTTCAGCAAAGGTATGCATTTTATACACAGAGACTCGCTTTGAAGGTGAGAGAAAGAGAGGGTAGTTCCATTCCCCTGCAGGAGCTCTGACAATAACACTGATGACATACTTTCATTTAATCAGTTCTTGGATTACTGTACATGTGCTATTTATACCGGGGTGTAGAGATTGTTCATTCAGTGATAACTTTACCTTTACGTGTCATGGCTGCTGCAGGGGAGATGATGCAATTCTTGGATGCAGCTTACATATGATCATTTAACTCTAAAGCAGTCCATTTGACAGCTTTTCAATTTGAAAGTGCAATTACTCTGTTTATGTATGATTTTGGGGGTGGCAGTCAGAGTTGCATCCAGTCCACAGAGCACCAGCCCCTCACTGATCCTTCTGCAGGTGCTGAGTCCACAGGAAGACGGCTGCTCTAGTCTGAGCTGCCTTGATCTTTCAGCGGGGGCTTCAGGCAAAGCGGCGTTAAGTGTCTTGCCCCAGGACACAACAACAGCAGACATCAGTGGGGGTCGGTGGAGAAGGTCTCGTGGTGGGCTCGAACCAACAACACAGTTTTTGAAATATTGTTGAACTTTAGCACAACTCACAGTGTAAGCTGGTGATGTTTTGTGTTGGATATGCACAGACTGAGCGCAGACTGCTGAAAAGTGCTCCAATTCAAAATGTGAATTAAAAAAAAGCATAATGAAAAAGTGCTGTAGTTATTTTAAAATTTGTAGAATGTATCTGGATATAAATGTTTAAGTGTAAAAGTACTGGCTTGTGCAAATTGTTGAATGATGAGTTAGAAATTTAACCACAGTTGCTTCAAAGTGTCATGAGATCTCTAAAATACAACTAAATGGCTTTGTTCCATTGGAGAATATACTCAGATAAATATAAAAACACTCGATTTACGCAACTATAACCTAAAATGTTATCATTTTTTTTCTGTGTATTATCTTAGAATAAAAACGCAATTATTACCTCATATTTAATCATTTTTTTCAGTGTATTATCTCAATGGGCTCTGTTCGCGGGAAACGGATTGAGTTTCAGTCGAGTTCAGCAGTGGTTTACACGAGTTTCCCAAATAATGCTCAAACGGGAATTAAACCGTGAGGATACTGGGCATATTTGGGACACGACAGTGCTCTTTGATTGTGCTGTCATTGTTTTTTTATAAAGTTTACAAATCTCTCTGAGTGGCCACAGTCGAAGCTCTACCTCAGAGAGAAAGCACAGCGACACTTTTGGGTCAGTCTCACAGCTGAATGTATCAATCTAATTACTAAAAAAACGTCACTAAAACCCACCTAAAAGCCATAGGATAGCAAAGGCAGGAAGTGAACGGGCTGATCTGCGTTAACAGGAAATGCCTCCCCGTGCATATAAGCCACAGAAGA